TAACCCTCAGATAGATTCTCAAAATCCTCTCCAAATGTGCAGACATTGTGAAGGCCTTACTGGAAATTTCAAGAAAATTATGGATAAAGGCAAAAAGGTCAATGAAGAGCTAGACCAGCTCCGAGACGAAGAAAAACAATTGAGAGTAACCATTCGAATCCTAACCAACCAGCTTAAAAAATTAGCTCCAGGAAAAACAGCTGCCCCCTTTCCTAACCAAGAAATCAGACAACTCACCAGTGAGGAATTTGACCAATTGAGTGCTAGAATGTATTTCTTCAAACATTCTATCATTCGATCTTTTTGTGAGAAAAGCCAAGAAATAGAAGACCTCAAACCCCATATATACACCTTAGCCGAAGATAGCAGAAATAACGAGCTAGTCACTATTCAGCAGTTTTTTCAAGACCTCTCCATAGCAGGAGTCCAATGCCCTGGTATGGCTTATCAATGGACTTATCTCTACGAAGATGAAGAACAACCCTGCTTAGAAGAGGAAAGATGTATAAAGAGGTCAGAACATTTTGGTCGATGCCAATGTAATTTAGATTTCAGTATTTACCTTTGCCAGATAAATCTAGCAATGTTCGAACCATTGGAGATAGAGATTAGAGGCGAAACGCGTTATCTAACAGCCTCACAATTGTTAGATTACGGCTTTGTCTCCAGAATTTTTTTTTCAGATCCAGATCAGACAGATAGCTTTGGGAATAAACTTGCTCATTCAGTACTTTGCATAATGGAAGAGCATCATCCATATGTAGAAGCATTAATTGATAGCAGATTACCAGAGTGGAAAGGAATAATGTACAATCCAGCTAAACATAAAATGTACCTTAGAGGAACCTCGACATTTCCAGGATACCCAGGACTTCTCAATCGGAGACCCTGGCCATGTAGAAGATTTTCACTCAGAGATCAGCTCAATAAATGGAGGAAATTTGCCAACAATCCTCTATTAGCATATAATGGAAATTATGGACGTCTAGTCTGCGAAGATAGAAATCAGAAGATATATTGTAACTTAGCTATCCCAAGATATCCCTTCAGCAAAGAGACATTCATCGATGAAAGTCAGTATCCCAACTATCAGCATAGCGTCTCTCATGAGTCACCAGTAATGAGAGAAGATGACTAAGATAATCAATGGAACGATGAACCAACCATGGGAGATGGGGATGATTTTTATGACTAACTTTCAGTAGCAGACCCGGATGATCTTTCAGATAGAATGTATGGCTAAAAAAAATAAAACTAAATAAATAAAATAGGGTGTCCACTTCGATTAAGATGAATTGGGTGTGCAATGTGCATATTATATTTGTGAGAACTTAAATAATTTTGTAAGATAATTTACGTATATTTGGGAGAACTTATGTAATTACATATGGTATATACTATTTTTTTTTTTGTTACAGAAAAATCCTCATATCTTTCTGTAGGTTCAAGGCAGCACCCGTGATGAAATCACCAAGATGTCTTGTTGTTCATTCTAGATGAGAGAGTATAACCTACACAATGTGAAGTAGCACCTTGGGGCTCTCCCCCCAGCCAACTGCGCTACCGCCACAAATGTATATGGTATACACTTGAACACTTAAAAATTATTCTATACATTAATATGAAAAAGAAAATAATAATGGATTTTTTATTGATAAATCCTATTTAGGGGTGTTCTAACCCAATAAGTCCACCAAAGAAAATTATAACTTAATTAGTCTTACGTATTTATGTTTTTATTCTATGAGGTCCTTTTTTTTCTGATTTATATTGTTTGTTGGGCTGTTATATTCTTATATTTATCGTTGATATGTACTACATAAAAAAAGATATACACATTTTCTCTTTGTTGCTATATCTATTTTGGTATTTACCATTATCCACGTTTTTCTTTTTTATCAGTTTCATTCACATATGTGGTATTATTTCATTGTGCGTGGGTTTCGAAACTCTCTATTTGGTAGGGTTTAGAAACTTTAATTTACACATGGTAGTGAAATAATATTATATTCTTCCATTGTTGCGGTGAAATTTTGTATTCCTCTATTGTCATTTTGTATTCGAAGTTCTATGTTTCTTCATTATTGTAAGTCGAAACTCTGTTTATATTAAGTCAATTTGGTTACAACCATATCTTCAAAGATATGTTTGGTTTGATTTGGATTGGTGGAATGGTGAAATTGCATATATTGTTAATGATAATGATAATGATAAAGATAATGATAAAGATGAGGATGTGGGTGATGTTTCTTTTATTTTTAGAGTGATTGAGTTTTTTTTTTTTTTTTTGATTTCTAATTCTATTACTGCCCTTGTTTTTATTTTTTTTTTGTCAATCAGTGTGAATGTTCACATTTCACATTGTATGAAAGTATGTGAAATAAGTGTTGAAATATAGATATAAACATAATTATATATTTTCCAAGATATGAATGTTCACATATCATTGGTTATTTGTTATCATATTTGTTGTTTGAACAATCATTTTTTGTTACAATTAAACAATTGAAATCGTCATTTTTCTTTTTCTAATTTTGTTTCGTGTTGTAGTGTGAATATTTACATTGATATGAATTTAGTTTTTCTAACATTAGTTGTATGTTAATTGTAAATTGTGAATATTCACATTGTATTTTGATATGATATATTTATTTATTTATTTACTTTTTTTTGAAAGTTAGTGTATTCTGTTGTTTTTTTTTTTACTATGTTTATTGTTGAACAATATTTTTGTTACCATTGAACAATCGAAATGGTTGATTTTCATTTTTTTTTAATTTTATTTTATATTTTCACGTTGCAGTGTGAATGTTCACATTGGTATGAGTTTATTTTTTTAAATCTAGTTGTATATTAATTGTAAATTGTGAATATTCACATTGTATTTTGGTATAAGTTTTATTTTTTCGAAAATTAATTGTATGTTTGTTATTTTTGTTACTATACTTGTTAGTTAAACAACCATTTTTGTTACCATTAAACAATTTAAATAATCATTTTTTATTTTTTTCAATTTTGTTTTATATTTTCACATTGCAGTGTAAATGTTTACATTAATATAAGTTATTTTTTTAAGACTACTTGTATGTTAATTATAACTTGTATTCACATTGTATTTTTGTATAAATTTTATTTTTTCGAAAGTTAGTTGTATGTTTATTGTTTATTGTGAACATTCACATTGTACTTTAGTATGTGTTTTATTTTTTCAAAAGTTAGTTGTATGTTTGTTATTTATTGTGAACGATTATATTTTGATTTTTATTCAGGTTTTTTATTGCATTATTTTTAAAATTTTCAAATTATAGGTTCAAGGTTTAGAGAGATTTTTTCCATGGAATAAGGGAAAAAATTTCTCTTTAGAATGAGAGAGATATTTTCTCCATAAAATGAGGGATTATTGTTATGTATAAGTTTCGAAATAATACATGTGTAAAAAATTATGATTTGACCATATTACATTAAATATGACTTAATAAAATATTTAAAAAGAGTATTAGTTACCGAAATAAAATACTTTAAAAAAAATTATTAAAAAATGATCCAATAATGATAATGATAATGATGATGATAGTAATAATAATAATAAACAAGGTAAGAAGAGTAACTTGATCCTTATGTTATACCGGACTAGTTTTGTCGGTCTTCACTGTTTTCGAAAAAGACAAAATTTAATAATTTTGTAAGCATCAAATCAAAAAAAAAAAAAAAAAAAAATTAAAAAAATAGTTGGACCATGCTGCTTAGGCTGGTAGGGTTCATTACAAATCCTGTTTTAATAATTTAAATTATTTATTTCTTAGATTAGATTATTTTATAAAAAAAAATTAGACCGACTCGATAATTATAATCACGTTAATTTATTACATTTATCTTTTAAAAAATGAATGGTCTAATTTTTAAATAATATTTTCCGTTAATTTTTTGTAAATAAATGTTATAAAATAGCATAGTTATATTTATCGAATCGATTTGTTTTTTTCATAAATAATCTATATGTTGTGGTCTAAAAAATAAACGGTTTGGATTATCGAGTCAGGAGCCTCGATGGACCTACAGACCCAAACAACATGTTTGGACAACCTGATGATTGAAAAAATATAGTTAGTTTTTACACTTTTGATATAATTATACAAACATATTTTTTAATGAAATTAAAGCGATTGAAACTAATGGAGTTAGAGCATAAATAAAGATAAATATATATTTTAATAGCAAATAAAAGACATATATTTTCCATCTAATTTGATTATCAGTAAAATTCTTGATTTGATACAAATTACTTCAGTTATTTCATTAACTTTTTATTAAAATATGTTTATGTTCATGTTCATGTTTTTTTTTTTTTTTTTTGGTTTTTTTTTTTTTTTGGAATCAAAATTTGTGAAAAAAGGAATGTATCTCCAATACTTCATTTATAAAAAAGAGTTCATCAAATTTAAATTTGACAAAAGATTCGAAAAGTTCTCAATTTGATGAAAAAAAATTGTCTCTAAATTAATTCGACGAATATTTGATGAAATGATTGAAAATAAATTTTTAACACTTTTTATTTTTATTTTTATCAAATTTAATCTTAATGGAAGAAAATATGAAGGATTAGAGATATTTTTATGTAAATTAAATATAAAATGTGACCGATATAATCATATTAAAAGTGTAAAATAAATCATATTTCGTGAAAATCTTAAATGAGGTGAAAGTAATTTACCTTTTTTTTTTCAATGAATGCTTTAAAAATACAAAAAAAATAATACATACTAACCAAGTAAAAATTATTTACGTGATATTTTGACAAATAAAATATTACAATACAAACAAAGTAAATCATTATTTATCTTGTAACTACTTGAAGCATTTAGCAAAGGGTATTACATAATAACACAACTAAATAATTAATTATTAATTTTTTAAAATAATTATAAAAACAGTTTTTGGGTTTTCTTTTCTATAATTCACCCGAACCGAACCGTTTTATTTATGTCAACATTTGAAACGGGCGGTTCAATCCGGTTTTTAAAACATTTCCAAATGGTCCGTCCCTGTGTCTCTCTCTCTTTCTAAGCGCACAAGCACTCATTTCCTCCGATTTGTGTGTTTCTAAAACCCTAGATCTCCATCGCTATCGATCGACGCCTCGAAGAATCGCAATCGCAGGTAAATCTTGTTCCTTCGAAGTTTTAATCTCAAAGCATTACGGACTGTATCTGTCGTATTGTTTAGATCTCAAGATTCCAACAATATTCCGTTTGGTTGCCGAGAAAACGGAAGAAAATGATATTAGTGAGTAGAAAATTTTGATTTTTTTGTTATGTTTATGATCTGGTTTTGGAATCATTCCTGAACTTAGCCAAAGATTGGAGGTTCTTGTTCTTTCTGGTTTCAGATAGAAAATTTTGAGATTCCGATCCTATATACGTGTTTCCGTATCATCTTCTCCGATAGGAGTTTGCTTGATTTGAATTATTGTTGATGCATGTTAAGGATATAGAATATTTCATTACCTATTTTTTATTTTTATTTTGTTGTATATTTTTCATTTGTTGGCTGTAAAATATACATATCGAACTTATATAACTGTAAAATAAAAAAATAGCATTGATTTCCACAAGATTAATATTTTTTTATGGAGAACATTGATTGCATAAACTTAAGAACCATCTTAGGGATTAGAAATCACTAGGTTGACAAAGTCTCAACTACCAGTTATTGAGATAGATGATTGGAGTTGGTGAGTTTGCATTGCATAACAATGATGTTGTGGAGCTGATCGATTTGAATGTGGAAAAACTCCTGCGAGTTTGAAAAGTCTCAAAACGATGCCATGGAGCCACAAACATACAGTTCTACTTGGTTCTCATTCAAGATCTTCATCAACAACCCAAAAACTGAAACTTAATAAAACGTTTAAGAGTAAATATTTCAAAATGAAAGCATGATAAGAACTATTCATCTCATGGTCAACCTATATATAATGAGTTATTGCTTGGCAAAAAATTGATTAGTTTACCTACACACAAAATGAGTTAAAATTGATTCTTGAAGTAAAGATGGATGAAATTTTTAGTTTTAAAAATAGTGAGATTTCTTCGTTTTAGGATAGAGAGTTTTAATTTTGTCATTTTGGCACCATCAATTTGAAACCCTAAATTTAAAATCTTGTACCAAATTCTTGCAATTGGTAATCTGTTTTGCAATATTTAGGCATTAATTGATATTTTTGTTTGTTTTGAAATAGTAAAATTTTATTGCCCTTTTTCAGTGAAATTTCATTTTGCTAAAATGGTTTATTTTTGATAAAGATAAATAGAAAAAACATGTTTGGTACACCTTTTTTTTAAAAAAGGGTTAAATGTGTCTTACCCTTTTGTAGTTTAATGTGAAAACACATTATCCCCTATGCTTTAGAAATATAACCCCCTTGTGGTGTGAAGCGCAAAAGTAACAGATGTCAAGGTTAACAGTGCGTGTGCAACATGCACAGAATTAAGCCTGTGTGAATATTGAAATATACAAGATACCATTTTTGCTCTCTCTTTTCATCGTTCTTCTTTCTTTCTCCTTCTTTTCCCCTTCAACACTATTCAATAGAGAATTTGAGCCCCCCCCCCTCTTATTTAAAAACAAACCCAACAAGCACACACCCATTTCCACCATTCCTGACCACACCAACCAGCTTCAAAAACAAACCTAACAGCCATCCTTACTAGAGGAAGCTTTCTCCCATGGTTTTCATGTGGCTTTGGCACCATCTAGTTTCAATTGAAGTGGCCCTGGAATTTTTTGAAGATGGAAATTTGGTCTTGAGACTTGCCAATATGTTTGGTGTGTTACCGGATGTGGTGGCTGTAAGGTGGGAGGATGTTCGAAGTTTTTTTTTTTTTTTTTTTTTGGGGGGGTGTGTGTGTGTGTGTTTGTGGAGGGAATAAGAACTTGTTTTAAAAAAAGCGAGACACAATTTGTGAAAAATAAACAGAAAAACAATAAAAATTGTTACCAAAAGCATAGTTGTTAACTCATTACCTTTTGCCTCTTACATGCTATGAGGGAGAGTGGTATAGAAAGCGGTGAGAAGACCACAATAACCAACTTATCCGTGGTTAACATAAAGAGTCAAGTAATGGACGTAGGGTTTGGCATTAGGGGGTTTGAGTCTGTACTATTGAGCGCAATGTTGGCCTCAATGTTCTAGTCTATTCCACTTTGGTTTAGCTTGGTGCGGTTGTACCCTATAGATATGTGTATGTATATGTATATACATAGAATAGAACTTTGTTGAACCATCTCATATTACTCATTTTCTACATCGGAGCCCTGCATTAGAATTGTAATTTTAGATGTCTTGAATGAAGACTGTTGAGCTTAGTTGATATATGGGCCTCCTTGATATGTGAGATTCATGTTATAAAGGTGTGCCCCATCACCATTGTTTGAGTTTAGTGCCATAAACTTGGTTAAAAACAAACCAAGAAGGGGTGTTTTTTCAAAAGACCAGATAATTTAAAGGAAGTGGATCCAGTGTGGTCCATTTTTCAGATTATCAAAACAATCCCTTACTTGCTTTTTAAAAGGTTGATTAATTATAATATTCTTCCTTGTTTTTTTTTTTGGGCATATGATTGAGTAAACTGATCTTAACTTTTGTTTTCAGTAGATTAAAGCTCACTTTTAGGAATGAATTTGCAACAAGTAGTACAGCCCAGATCTTCAGTTAATGGGTATGGCCGTCGGAGGGGTGACAGAGAAAGTGTGAGTAGGCCAGAGCATAAGTCGCAATCTGGAAAAACAAACCTGAGCAGACAGAACAGTGCAGGTGAGAATAGTTGAGCTAGATTGGCTATTGTTGTGTTACATTCTTTGGTCTAACTTTAGAAGGAACAGGTCTATCAACTGGCAGTAAAGGTGGAGGTTATGAAAGTCTTTCACGTGACCGATTGGTATATATAACGACCTGTCTAATTGGTCAAAATGTTGAAGTCCAAGTTAAAGATGGATCTTTATTTTCTGGAATATTTCACGCGACAAATGCTGAAAAAGATTTTGGTATGTACTGAAAGTTTGGAATTTTTCTGAAAATAATGCATTTGTCCTACGTGTTGTTGAAGTTGGTTCCTTACCTTTTCTTAGCAAACCATTAAATGCAGTTTGGTATATAGACATTTTCCTCTCAACATTAACTTGGTTGTCATTTGCAGGAATTATTTTGAAGATGGCCCGCTCAATAAGGCCTGGTTCTTCACGTGGACAGAAGTCTATTGCAGATTCCATGAGCAAGGCTCCTTCAAGGACTTTGATAATACCGGCTAAAGAACTCATACAAATTATTGCAAAGGTTCTGCTGTGTTCTCTTTCCATGTTTTTTAACTTCATTACTCCAGTGCTGGATTTCGCTTGGTAAAATTAATTTTAATTTTTAAGTATTTGAGACCAATGATTGTAGGGATACTTTAGAAAGGTAAAGATAGCCAAAGGATAGTATTCTGATGTTTGCAGCATTTTGTACTTGTAACGTGTTTGTTGGATGAAGTGGCCGTATCTGTCGATTAGATATATAATGATCTATTTGTGTTTTCACTTGGACCAGGGTGTGTCTGTAACCAGGGATGGTTTTGCAAATGATCTCCAACATGTAAAACAGCAGGACATCATGCTAGACTCTTCTATATCACAATCTCGTCATGGCGACGTAGAGAGGGAGTTGGAACGCTGGGTCCCTGATGAAGATGATCCTCAATGTCCTGATTTGGAGAATATATTTGATGGCACTTGGAATAGGTTGGTTTTTTATTTTTTATTTTTATGATCTCTTGGGTAAATATTCTGTAGGGGTTTTTCATGGATCATATTATTAGGAAATTATATGTGGTTTTGTATATATCTTGAATATGCTATTGGTTAATGAGTTTAAAGTTTCCTAATCTTTAATCATTGTCTTTCTAGAATTAAGAAAAACCAACTGGCAACGGCCTATAAATATCTATGTAATTCTTCTATTTGATGGAATTTAGTTTAGGAGAAATACCACTGAATCAAGCTTAAACAAAAAGCTCTAAATAGTGGTTTAGAGATTTCTTGCAACTTATTCGAGAAATCCTGCAATCTGCCTTTTCAGATATTAAGCCACATTATAGCCCTATTCCTTTCCAAACACAAAATTCTTTCTTCTCCTTTTCAAAAATCTGAAATCTAGAAGCTTCTTGATCCTGTTTTTTTGGTATAGTTGGTGTTTGGACTCGGTTAATCTGTTGTTGAACCAATTTTTGGATTTGTAGAGGCCTATGAGTAAGGTTTTTGATGTATAGTTTATACGCTCGTGTTTACAGCCTACAGGTTACACCCCCTTCGTTCTGCTTCAATATAATCTTATACTTATGAAAAATAAAAAGCATGTGAATATATTTCAGTTGCGTCTTTTCCAATGTTATATTATATCATTACTAACTTCTCCATCAGGTATATATTTGATCACATAAGTATGCCTAGTGAAATCCTTTTTTCGTGTTCTTAGCACCAGGCATTTTACCTCCCTACTGTTCATATTAGATGGTGCTTTAAGATATGGTATGTAGATCTCTTTCCATATGATAAATAACATACTTGTTGAAATCCAAAATAGAGCAGGAAATTTGCTTTTATGGTTGATATCTCTGACATCGAGATCAAGTTGATTTTTGTTACTTGTTTCATGTATTCAATCATTGCTCAATTATCACTTGCTATCAAGGTTCTGAAAAGTGGTTGCGGCCGCTGTAACGGTGGCGGTAGCGCGGTTGCGGTAACTGAAATAGTGAATTTTTTTATTTTTCACACAATTTAAAAAAAATTTACCGATACGCATGTTTTTTTTCCATGATCATATTTATTGGGTTTAAAATAAATATTGATCAATTTTTGTAAATTTTTAAGTGGTATCCAATATATTTTATATTTTTAAATCACTATAAACTGAGTCTTTTACATTTTATTTTAATAATTAATGACTTTATATTATTCAAAAAATCAATCACTAACTATTGTATATAAGATAAACAGAGACAAAAGTAAGAGAATAAATAAGAGCCTAAATATATGTATATATATATTTTAACCAAGCCAAATAGATAATGACCACACTTACTACTATTATTATTATTATTATTATTTTCAAACAATATATAGATAGTCACACAAACAAAATGGTTGAGTGATAGCAGCTGAATAGAATAGCATAAGTCTTACAGTTTCAACAAATCAATAACATGTTCTTCATCTTCCCTCTCTCTCCATCTCTCGCTTGCTCCTCCATTTTCTCTCTTTATCTTCCCTCTTCTCTCTATTCCTCTTCTCCCATTTTCAGTTTTTTTTTTTTTGTGTTTTTTCAAAAGAAACAGTTTGGAACCGTTACGTAACGGTGCGTAATAGGCCATTACAACTGTTACGGCGCCATTACGACTGTTACGGCAGCCGCTACGGCCGACACACCTGTGAATCTCAGTCACACTGCAAAAGCGGCCATAACAGGTGGCGGTAACCACCAAACCGTTACGTAACGGTTGCGGCCGCTTTTTAAAACCTTGTTTGCTATAGTTTCTTAGATAGACCTTGTCTAGCTTAATAGCATACTAGAGTCTGAAATCCATTTTATAATGTTAAGAGTCTGAAATCCATTTTATATTCAATTTACCATTTAAAAAAAACTTCTGTCATACTAGCTCATTAGAAATAGCTTTAGATCAGTAGTTATTAGAAGTTTTAATTGTAACTAAACCCAGCCTACATGCAGCTCCATTTGATATGTTGTGGGAGTGACCTTTTCACCCTTACCTTAAACCTCCACCTCATTCCTTTTTCACTAAATATTTTGATCTCAACATTTATTCTCTTCCATGATTCTAGTCATAGAGATTTAAGTCAGACTCACAGGTGCTATGAACGTAATCCAGGAGATTAACAAGAAAAAATGAAAAAATAGATGAGGTTTAATTTGTTGAGAAAAGAATTATCTGCCTTGATTTGACAAAAGTTGATACGTAGTGTTATTTGACAGGGGATTGCTTTAAATCCTTCTCTTGACAGTTTTTTATTTTTATTTTTTGTATAAGGGTTTCCTGTAGTTTTTATGTATATTTCTGTTCCAGTTTTATTATAATGTCATTGAAGTTCATTCATTTTATATTGCTTTGATGGATGCACTTTTATAATCATAGGTCCTGGAATCAATTTGAAGTAAATGAAACATTATTTGGAGTGAAAAGCACCTTTGACGAGGAAATTTATACAACAAAACTTGAGAGGGGTCCACAGATGAGAGAGTTGGAAAGGGAAGCTTCAAGAATAGCAGGAGAAATTGAGGGTGAGGAAACCCATGATCTACATTTAGCAGAGGTGATGACTGATCTCAATTTATATGGACCCTTTATCTCCTTATCTGCCTCCTTAAAAAATTTCTCCTCAAATTTCTTACATCACATTTCTTTTATATGATAGGAACGAGGGATTCACCTTCATGAAAAATTTGATATTGACGAGGAAACGAGATTCTCATCGGTCTTTAGGGGGGTTGACGACAGTGGATATGATGAAGATGAGGACGCATTATTGGATTCATGTAATAGTGAAACCTTTGGTGGTGCCTCTGGTTCTGTTGTTGGCAGGCCGTTGGCTAACTTGACCAGTGGGAAAAGTAATGATGGAGCTCAAATGTCATCTTGTTCTTCATCTATGGTAATCTCTTAACCATTTGTTATCTTTTTGTGGACTTGTTATTATCATTCATGGCTGTAGGGATTCAGGTTACTGTGTAGGTCAGTTGTTTTATGTATCAAGCCAAGTAAAATGATTTCTTTCTTTCTATCTTATATATATATATGATATGATATAAGTGACGTTAAATCCACAAACGGCGCCAAAAGGGGAGCAATCTCTGTACACTACTTAAAAGTGTGCCTATTCCTCTCCCTTCATACACACTGCATCAAACACAATGAAGCCACTACCCTAGCAGCACCCATCTGCGCAACACACGTATAACTATATAACTGACTTCAGCATAACCCGCAGAACTCCAAAAATAGAGAAGAGCATAGTGAAGAAATGTGTAACCACCTCACATTGCAGAAGCAAAATGATCCACTGACTAGACCTTTCTGCACATGCAGTGCCAATTGGGAAGCAAGTAACCAATTTTCCCAACTTGTCAATGGTGTGTGAGAATAGCATCTAGGATGCTAAAAGTTGGGCAACCTTTTTCAACCCTGGTAAATCAAGTTGAAATGAAATAATGACCGTGAAAAATATTTATTGAAATCATATCATGGCCTAAATAGTTAATGGCAAATGTAAGAGTCTGCTTGACTAGAATTTTTTTGCACATGTTTTTTTTAACTCCTGGCTGTTATGTGATTGGGATCCGACTACAAGTGACAAACTTTTTGTCGTCCATTTGTCTTTTTTTCTGTAGGGGAATGACTGAGCATCTTCTAATTTTAATGATATGTGCTTTTCTTCATATTTTTTGGTATGCAGGATGAAATACAATCTTCTCTATCAAACTCTGCAAGGGATGTACACTGCTCTGATTCTAATGATCATTCTGGACAGCTGTCATCTGAATCTCTCTCTAAAAGTTCAGCTTTAGATAGTGAAATCAGGTTTCTTGTTATTTTCGCTGATTAAATGTTAATTACTTTTTTATATTAGGATAAAGGAACTACTTACATTGTCATTAGAACTAAAAGAGGCTTATCTTTGTTTTATGTCTAATTCCACATCCTGAATTTTAGGATTCAGGAGAATCAGTTCAGTGCACAGTATGCAGGAAATAATTACGTTAAGGAGTTTGTAGAAAAGCAAATGGTGAGTTAAGATTTGATTGCTATTACTTGTCCTGTGTAAATTTAGAGGGATTTCGTTTAATTGATTTTTGGTTTTGTTGCTTATGATACTTTCTAACAATCATATTTTGGTAATATCGATGCAGTTAGCTGAGGAGGCACAAACATCAAAATCTGAGGGTGAGTGAACTTTTTCATCCAGATTTCTGTGAACTTTGCATTGTATTTTAGCTGCCCACTGTAATTACAGGCTAATTACAGCCTTAAATAATTCTAATGAGATTCATCTGTTTTTTTATTTTTTATTTATTTTTTATACGTAGTTCATCACTCTGTAGATGAATTGAGTCTAAGATTAGGTCAATTGGATGAAATAATGATTACGGTTTGCTGTGCAGTAAGCTTATTGATAGATCTTTTTAATCTGTAGTTGATGGTTAGTGCCCAGCATTAGAAAGTCTGATTGTCTATGACTCCGCCTGTCATTTTGGTGTTCGTCATAGGATTAAAGTTACTGAGATAAGTGCTCAAAACGCAGAGAATGAGAGTGGGAGCGAGAGCACAAGAGTGCAACTTCTTAGACTTCATAAGATGTACAACGTGTGAAAAGAGAAGGCTCAAATTGACATTAATAGAAATTTCTAGACTCTCACATGGATGAGAGATAGAAACCCTCTTTTTCCCTGAAGTCCCATTTAAGTGCATTGCTAAATAAATTACAACATCTTAGGTCAAAATATTATACAGTCTGTATTATATTTATAAATGTTCAACCTTGGGATACTATCCTTATATCCTAAGATTTAGGGTTTAGGAAGGTCTGATCCTTGGACCCACACCCACACCTGAGTCCATGTTACATAGGAAATTGCCAATTGGAAGATCAAAAGAGCATTTGCTCACTTGGGTGGAAGGATTAGGTCACTTATGTTGATAATCTAGCAGGAATTGAATGTAATGTAATAGATGGTCTGCCATAAGGGTTTCTCTGTGGAAGAGGAATCCAAACCAATGAGAAAAAGAAAATGAGCCCATAGCAATTGCTTTAGCTTATGATGCTCTTTTAGTAATTTTACATATTAGGACTATTTGGCCAGTTATTGTTGTTATCCGTCTTGTATCTTATGTAGTTCGGATTAGGTGAATCATTTTTTGCTATGTGAAACAATTTATTAATTTGGAATTGCTTATCATTTTTGAGTTACATTTCCTTTAGTTGCCATATTGTAATTGTTTTCATATTTTAGGCGTTGTACTTTGATTTGAGTTGGTGTCTTCTCTTAGAAGGTAATCCAACTTTTTAGTTGTTTACGTGCTTTGGAGTTCCAAGGTTTATGTATGCCTTCTGGGTTTTTTTGTTATATATAATAAAGGTATGCAGATTAAACAGGACTAGAGGTAAAAGAATTGATTTGCCAACAAATGAGGGTTATACTTATTTATTGATTTGAGTCTGGATCTCAAATATGCTCTCATATAGTAGGGTGGCTTCAATTCATATCCTTGTTAAATTTCTCTTATCTTCCTGCATATACGTTTGTTTCTTATACATTCTTTTCTTGCAAAGTTGCTCATCAAGTCATCTTAACATTCACATTTTTAAATATTCTAATTTTTGAACATATTTTTTCTTGGCTAACCAACATTGTATCATACAATAAAGCTAGCGTTATGGATATCTTATAGAACTTTACCTTTGTATCTTGCTACAATCATAAAGAGACACAGATAGTACTTTTCTATTTATCTATTGTAGTTATTGTATAGGCTACATTGTTCGTAATATCATATTCCTTATAGATAATTGATCAAAGATATCAGAAATGATTACTTTTGGATATAACATTTCACTGTTGTATGTATAAACTGTGGATTGCTATATGTATATATGCACGTTATATATATATATATATATATCTATAAAGTTAGAAATTTGGTTAAAAAATAGGTGTTTCCATTTTTTTTTAAAAAATCGCGGCCATGTAGTCATCTAATTCTGAGGTTTTTTGCAAAGAAGAATCAGAAGCAGGATACATAGAGGGTATAAACATCTTTCTATAGCTAACGATAATGGGGTTTGGATAACACTTTAGTCCAAAAACACATGAAGGGTAAATTGGCAAATTGGATAATTTTCTCATCATCTGCACAATCTTTTTCTATGAATGTTGTTCCCGCAACGTCAAATTTATTCTTTTGAATGGGAGAACTATTGCTTTACGCAGATTTGCAGCCATCACTGAGGGCAAAGAAAGATGGCTCTGATGGGGGATTATCTGCGAATGCCACATCATATACTTCTACATCCCTTGGCTCATCCAAGGATCGGGAAAAGATGAGTTCTCCCAGTGGACTAACAGAGGATGCAGCTCCCATGAAGCCACAAGGAGCAACACAGTCTGCTAGATCCCATGGACGGCCTGGTAGTTCTGCTTCAGAGCGTGGGGGTGCTGCCTCAGCTTCTAGCGCTCAGGTCTTATCACCAAGCTCATCAATGAGTTCATTGTCTTCGGAAAAGTCAACTCTGAACCCCCATGCTAAGGTGCCATGATTTTAATTTGTGCACTTTTTCTTGATTGAAGACCATTTAGCCTCAACCATTTCAAATCAGATTTGCATGCAGATGCATGTGCTCTCCTAATTGTAAAGAGTAAACCATTTAGTATAGTATTATCAGGTGCATACTGATCCATTGCTGATTAATCATACTGCACTTTTGCTCTTGTTAAAATCTTGTTCAGGAATTCAAACTCAATCCGAATGCAAAGAGTTTCATCCCATCTCAAACTCCTTTAAGGCCTGCTTCTCCAGTGTCTGATGGCTCCTTTTATCTTCAAACTAATGTTGCTCCTCATATGCATGGCATTGTAGGCCTTGGGGTAAGTCATTCAATTTGATTACAAGTGTTCCTTGCTCAGTTTCCCTTAGTTCCAAGTGTACAGATCAATAGCCAACATGTTATTTGACAAGTTTTATATGCCTACTTGATAACTGGATCCTCGCTGAACATGTTATTTGACAAGTTATATATGCCCACTTCATAACTGCACGCTCCCTGAATTACCATTTGCCCTTAATGGATTTTATTTTTTTGATTTCTTATCTTGGTACCATAGGGTGCCAACATGACAGACAAGCCAATGTATTTCTTTATTTTTTGGCTGTTACTTCTTCCTGTTATTATTTATTATGAAGATTCTTTTGGTCATGATCCTCCCTCTCAGAAATGAATTCTGTGGCATGATTTTTAATATCTTACTTCCTCTTGTACTTTATTTGTTGGTTGAAATTCTTGAACTTCCTCATTGACTGTGTTTTGAGAATTTGGTAGCTAATAGCCATCTGGGAGTCGAGGTTATTATGGTTTTATATAAATTTCTACAATTTTAGGCCTGTCTAAATCCTGTGGATTAATATTATATTGCTTCATGCACATTTATTTAGATATTGTAAAAGGAACGTACTTGGGACACAATGGTACTTGTTGAATTAGATAGTTTTATATATTTTTTTATTTTTTTGTGGTCTCAATGAATAAGATAGTAGTTGCTCTGCAAACATTATATTCTCTACTGAGTAAGGAGATGTTTGAAAAGTTGGTTTATGATTGCATTAAGTTCTGTGGCTTATTATTGGTGGTTTATTGTATGGTGGTCACAGATTGGACACTCATTTGCGCACCAGCCTGTTATGTATCCTCAGGTTGCACCAATGCAATCACCACAGGCATACTTCCATCCAAATGGACCTCAAGTAAGCCATTGCTTTGTGGATATTCTCGAATAATGTATTGTTTGGTAGTGTTATGGAAATTAAATGTAAAGCTTAGATATTAATTTTTTTTGTATTCATTCTTATCGCAGTATGGGCAGCAGATGATTCTTGGTCACCCTCGGCAAGTCCTTTACATGCCGACATATCCCCCTCCCCCTCCTGTAAGAAAATTAGATTGCATTCTTTGATTTTACATGATTTTAAGAATTTTCGTTATTTCTTGTCAGATTAGTCAAATGTAGGTCAGTTTACAGTGGAAATTTCTCCAGCATTCTATAGGAAACCTGAAATAGCTGCCACCTCTTTGCAATTGCAGTCTCCTCTAGAATTATTTAAGCACCCCTATAGAGAGTAACGTGCATAGAGAGACTCTCATTACCCCTATAAAAAATTTTAAGGACCCCTAATATTTTTAAAATTTAAAAAACGCAACTACAACTTACTCCCTTGAATTATTAATTTTTTCAGTAGTGCCCCTTTGACATATGCATCTGCTAATTGTTCTATCAAACTGATTTGGAATTTACTTGAATTTTATTGCTAGTTGAGAAAAATATATATTACTATTCTTAGAATTGTTGATCAGTAAGTATCCATTAGGCACTTTTGGGTTGATTAGGTTTTGTGCGTATTGTTAGAAACTTTTGTAATATCTCATCGTTGTTGATTATGGTGGGGGGTGGGGGAATGAAGATCATGTTTAGCATGTGCCCCTCCCCAAGTTAAATTTCTTGCTTCACCAGTTGTTGCAATTGAACCAAATTGGAAAATTCATGCAATTATTTACCTTGCATTTGCAGGAAATGCCATACAAGGGAAGAGAATTTTAGGAAGTTGGTTGACTGCATTCAGAAACACAGATGTGCTTGTACCGAATAAGCTTCTAATGACAGACTACTCGGAAAATTAATTTTCCGTTGAAAGAGCCCAGCAGCTGATGAAAGACTTCATAATTCTCAAGCACTATTTGTGCTAGGGCTATCTCTCTCTCTCTCTCTCTCTCTCTCTGATGAGATATAATTCAATAACCTTGTAACCTTCACAATTCTCTGATTTGTTGATGTTTTTAAAGATGCAGTACCTTTTTCTTCATTTGGGTGTTGTTTTTATTTTGATTTTTAAGTTATTTGGATTCAACTCAAGAGGCATACAAAGGTTTTTACCTCATTGCAAAGTGTGTTTAGTTTTTTCGACAAGACCAGGGTGGCACCGAAAATGCCAAGTGTTTTATGATGTATCAATGGATTTGGTTAACGCCATTTGCTAACGCCGGTGGCCTTGCTTGGGAATGGCTTATTATGAGGTTAGCTCAAACTTTCAATAGAAATGTTGTGAATTTATGGTGCGTATTTACAGAGCATTCATTTGCTTGATTTAAGATACTTCGATCCACAGGTACTAATCCTGAAAAGGTTGGCCTCATGGTCAAGGCTTGTGATGTGGGGTTGTGCTCCTTCCAATATCTCAAGTTTGAAACCTTGTAGGTGTAAATAATTTTTTGGGATTACTCCGTATGGGATTTTTGCCCAGACTTTAATTGGGACCTATGCACGGGGAAGGTTGGATTGGTCTTACGGATTAGTCGGTTTAATGGGTTGGATATTGAGTTACATAAAAAAAGAAAAAAAGAAAAAAAAAGATTCATAGGTACTATACTTGTAGTTGCGATCTCTCCTCACCTAATGAGGTTTTCATTGCGTATGCTATGGTTCAGTTTTTGGTTTAATCCTACTTTGAAATCAAAGTCAGATTAGGAGTAAGTTTGAGGTTTATTTTCATTTCCATCTTTTGATTGTCTACATGTGGAAAGCCATTTAACCCTAGTTTGGCAAATGTATTTTTTGGCCCTTTTTTTTGTTTATTTTATTTTAATTTGCAGTCTTTAGCTGCTTCTAGATTAGAAACTCTTGATCAATAAAAATTAAAAAAAATGAGATTTTTTTGTTCCATTAAAGATAAACAAACAAACCTAGCGTTAGAAGCCCCTTTTATCAGACACCAGGTCTGGATTTTGAGTCTCATTTCCTCCCATTTTCCTTAGGTTGGATATATATTAGAATGTTTCTTGCATCTCCATAAAGAAAAAGAAGAGAATATTTGGTTAGCAATGGGTTTATTTGTTGATATCATTTGAGTGTTTGGGTTAAATAGTTTGGTTTACTTCCTTTCATTTTGAGAAATAGTTTGGATACAGGCTAGATGATTAGTTGTAAGTTAATATTTGGTTGTGTACTAATTACACTTCTAAAGGCATTTATCAAATATTGAAAATCTAGGTATTTAACACTAGCATGAATTTGAAAAATGATGAAATTTGCAGAAAAAAGTTTCTTCTTCTAAAGACACTTCCAAGAAATTCACATGCCAAGCCAAAAATTAGGCATGTAACCTATCCTATGTCGAGCTTGAACTACCAACTTTTATTAGGGGAAGTGTTTTTTTGGCAGACATAAGAATTTAATTAAAATAGACAAAAAGAAAGCATACATTAGAGTTTTATATTATATTACAAAGCCAACCAAATGAAGACCAAAAACCATGCCACCAAACTATAAAAATAAAAGAGGATATAATTAGATTTGCCTCCAGTTTGGAGAACTAGATGCGGTTATTTCTCGTGCATGGTAGAGACTGGGGTATGCTGCTTAGACATTGGGATTTTTGTCAAATATTCAGTGTGTTTGGTTTCAATTTTTTGAAAATTGAGTTTTTTTTTTTTTTTTTTTTTTTTCTAATGAATATTTTTGAAATTCTAAGTAATTTTTCTGCTTTCTTAGATGCACCTTACTTAGATGTATCTAAATAGTAAAATATTTGTGAAAAAATATTTTAAAAAATTAACAAATACACAAAAATATAAATAAAAAAAATGTACTGAATTTTGGTTTTTTTTTTTGGTTGTATTTTTAATATTTTGTGAATTTTTTAAAGATTATTTCACAAATATTATACTTTTAAGTGTATTTATATTAAATGTATCTAAAAATTAAAAAATTTATTTAAAATATTAAAAAAATTCAGTGACAACAAAAAAAAATACAAAAATAATTAGAATCATTGAAACAAGTGTTGGAGTCACAAGAGCGAGGTGAGGTTTGGAACCCTGCCGTGAGGGGGGATGCCTCTCGAGCGGGAGCCTAGTTGAGTTTTGCTCTAAAAGATAAATGAAGGTCTTTTTCGCTCGATTTATAAAGGGCTCGGCCCCTTCACAAAATAGAAAAACCAAAGCATCACTCCTTCATTTTGATTGTGTTGCGACGTTGATTGCTTAGCTTTGGAGTTTGGCATTGCTTGCCCAAGAACCAAAAAACGAAGTGATAAACCCAAGGTTCCATAGTAACGAGTATAATCTACGAAGCAAGCTTAAGGGTTCTCTAGAACTACATTCGTTGTGTATTTTGCTTCATAAGTCTTTATCAGTCATTAACAAAACTTTTTTTGTTTTAAACATAGAAAAATATCATTTGTATCTTTCACTTAAAAAGTAATACAGTCCTTTTTTTGATTAATTATTATTATTTTTGATGAACCTTATCTAAAATAGCAGATTCATAATAAGTCTAAATTATCAAAATCTTTACTTTGGACAAATAATATTCAATATTGACAAGAAAGAGTAAAGAATGTCACATTGTTTTGTTTTCTGGGTTAAAAAAAAAAGAAAAAAAAGGACCATGTTTGAAATTTCTAATATGCCGAGCCGCAGCCACTTAGAGCTTCGGTGGGTCTCGTGTCGTTATACCGTTACCTATACAAATAAAAATTATGTATTATTTATCCTTTATAAAATTTAATAGTGACCCTCCTTAAATTATGTAAAATTTTTTGTATTTTTTAAAATTTAAATTTTTTCTATTTTAATATTTTGATTATTCTTATACACTTTTAATTGATAGGTCAAGATAAGAATTGAATCAATTGATAATTCATTTCTTATTATGAGATTTGTTTAGTTGCTTAATTCTCTTCATTGTGGGGCACTTTTTTTTGAGTTGATAGGATTGAATTTATTGATTATTTGGTTAATAAAATTTAGTTATTGATTGTAGATTTATAAGTCATGTTAATATAAATCTCAGGATAATTGTAACAAAAATAAAAATAAAACTATATAAATTTAATAATATCTCGTTGTTACTTGTTATGGGGGGAAAAATTCAATATTGTGATTAATATGTGCCTCCTCTACATTAAATTTCTAGCACCGCCACTGCTAATATATTTTTATAATTTAATTTATATGATATGTGTTAATTTTTTATTTGTCATACATTTAATCGAATAGAATCCATGAATTTGAGAACCTAAATTGTGGATCTATAGTATTGTTTAAGAAAACAAACACAAGTTGTTGTGTTTGTATTTTGATTGATTAATATAAAATTTTTGGGTAAATTACACTGATACCTTGAGATTTTTGTTTAATACAGATCCCCACTCACATTTGAAAATTTACACCTACCCACTGTCAGATTAAAATGACATATTTGTCCTTAGCCTTTATACATATAAAATAATATAGATATTTTATTCATGTCATTTCAAGGAAAATAATAATCATTTTTATAATTTAATCCATATGATATGTATTATTTTTTAATATTTTAAGAGTTTTTTTTTAATTATTTTTTAGATACACCTTATCTAGATATACTTAAAAAGTATAATATTTTGTGATTTTTTTTTTAAATTCACCAAATACAAAAAAAAAAAAAATACAAAAAATTCAATACATTATCTTATTTTGTTGTATTCAATGATTTATTTTTTTTTTAAAGATTTTTGTATAGATTTTATATTTTTAAATGTATTTAGATTAAATTGATCTAATGTAGATATAATTGTGGAAATAAAAATGAAAAATTATGTTAATATACAAAAATTTATATTAAAAAATCATAAAAATGTTGGAATAGTGATATTGTTGTAAATATAAATCATATTTTTAGATGTTTTGTTTTAAAGTGAAAGATCACCATTAAGCTATATCATTGTGCTTGAAAATTCTATATAAAATTTTATATTTGTATATTGTCATTCAATAAAAATATGGTCACATAGAATTTAATGGTAAAAAATTATAAAATATAGTCATGATGATAGGAAGAAAAATGATAGGAAAAAGGGCAAAATTGTCATTTAGAAAAATTAAGGACATGACAGCAGGAATTTATGGGGAATTTATGGAGCAATTTATAATCAGATTATAAATCTCAAAAAGAAAAATAATAGGTATGTTTGGTTTGGTTTTGTAGAGTGATTTTGGGAAAAATTTTCTAAAAAACTTGTTTGGTTTGTAATTTTTCTAAAACAATTTCTAAAATCACTTTTTTTCACTTACACATCAATTAATCACTTTTTCTCTCTCTTCTTTTATTCTCAATCACTTTTTCTCTTACACACATCTATTCAATTATAACAAAATATCAAATCATTCTAAACTCCAAAATCACTTTCAAAATACACAACCAAACAAACTACTAAAAAAAATTTTAAACTCTCTCCTCAAAACAATTTTTAAAAACTACTCTCCTAAAATTAAACCAAATATTTTTCAAATATAAAGAGATCTGTATCAAATAGAAATTTCAAGGGCGGCAGTGTAATTTACCTTTATTTTTTAGTTATAGAATATCTATAAGTTGGCTTCCAAACATGCACCATGTAGAACAAGATGTTGAATATTGTAATTCATTTAAGTAAGATATAAGATTCCTAGTCGGTATCTATGTTTTAAATGAGTTGACGGGATGTATCAGCACCCTTTAGTTTTCGATTATTTTGACAAGAGGTCATTTTGGTTTGGTTTGTAATGTGAATTGGTTTTTTTAATTTTTTGATTATTTTAATTTAGAGTTAAAAAGTTTTATTTATGGTAGATTTTTAAATTTTTTTGACTTTTGTGAAGAAAAAAATAAAATAATTATAATTTAAATATGACATTTTTTAATTCGAAATTAAAAGGTCTATTTTATCTTTTTATAGATATTTTAACCCCAATTCTTCCCAACCCAACTTTCCAATCGAGTGTTTTGTTTGGTTTGTGTTTGAGATGTGGAATTCATGCAAACAATTTTATATTTTTAGTATAATTATACTAAACATATGTAATTAGTTGTATTTTTTAAAAATTCCTGAGGGAGTAAACACCACCCAAAGCCTCCGTTTGGGAAGTGGGTTGGTTTTTTGACTTTTTGACTTTTTTGGTTATTTTAGCCTGGGCTTAAAAGCTTGGTTTGGAAAGAGCTTTTTCGCTTTTTGGCTTTTTTGAGTTTTTTTGTGAGAGAAGAATGTAATGATTATGGATTGGATGTGATGTTTTGTTTGTTATGACTAAAATAACCTATTT